CATTCATGGAAGTCTGTGGGTCCTGTGACGGCAGACACCGGGATCGTACCACTCACTTAGTCGCTTGCTTAACTGCGCTGAGATCAGTTGATGCGGCTCCGTGTGAAGCTGAAGGGATTCTGTAATAGGTTCTGTTAAGAGGCTCAGTGGAGTCGCTGGCTTCGGCCCAAGCACATTTGCATTCCTCAGGGGCAAGCTGTCCGGTATTATCTCTGCTCACTACAACAGAGGCCCCTGAGATCACAAAGGACTTGCTGTGTCGGCCTCTCCTCACACTGGCCCCATCATATTTGACGGAGAGGAGTGGCCCAACTTCAGAGGCACCTAATTATCTGAACGCCACAGCGAAGGATGCACCTGCAGACAACAGGTGTTTATCTACTTAGCGTGTGAGGAACCTTCCTTTGGCCCAAGAGGACTCATGCTGCAGGCCCCGACAGAAGCAGACTAAGTTTTGATTGAATCATATTTCACTTTGAGTCATGCAGGAGGACGTCTCTGCGGAGCGCTGCAGAAATGCTCATTCTTTCCATCCCCTTAAGTTCTCCGAAGACACTTAATATAACTCCACACCAAAGCGTGTACATACATGCATGTGCTTGATGAATTGATGTGGTTGGGTTGAATTAATGATCCTCCTCTTGGAAGATGAATCAGGTGAAGTGTCATGTGGCGTCAGGTTCTCACTGGAAAGCTTCACAGTGCCACGTCAGGGAATCCGCAGGTGTGTAATCCAAAATCTGAGCCAGAGGAAAAAAAAATAAAAAAGGAGTGTCTGCGTGGGGGCTGCTGCAGTAGGAGGGGACAGGCTCTGCAGTGTAACATTTCTGTGTGGAGGATTAGGGTTGTTTGAGGGGAGATAAGACACGACGGGATCACAGCGCTGTTAAATGCATCTGCCAGAGCCAGCAGAGGAGCAGCAGCAGTCCAGAGACGCTGCCAACATTCCTGGGGATCAACACCAGCTGAAGGCTCCCACCTCTCTCCCCTGCTGCGGAGACTTGAAAGAGTACCTGATAAGGAAACCCCACAGTAGCCTCTCACAATATTCCACCATAGAGAACTTCAGTACTTTTTATTTTACTTGCAATATGAACAAATTTGAGGTGCTTTGTACTATACTTGAGTATTTCAATTGTATGCAATTTTACCGTATACTTTTGCTACTTAAATATATAAGCTTGAGCTTGCAAGATAACAGCGTTTTTATTGGCTCTGTTATTATTAACATTGTCACATGAATGTTATTATTGTCATTTATAACAACCAGGCTGCGGCCCACCCCGACTCTCGCTCTGTTGGAGGTTTCCTTTGAAGGGCGCTGTTTTTCTCTCCACTGTTGCCAAGTACTCATTGGGAACTGTTGGGTTTCTCTGTAATACAGTTAGGTCTCAACCTCACGATGCAAAGTGCTCTGACCACGTCAAGACCTCAGAACCTGGAGAATCTTAAAAATCACACTTGTGATGAAGGAGGACGACCATGAGTATTAAGAGGACATCTGGGGACAGGGTATTGATTTCTGTCTCTGTGCTGCCATGAGTAAGTGACAGTCTGGGGACTATGTGCACAGGCCATATACCAGCATAACTAAAGGACATGCTCTTAAAAACAAGGATGTGTAAAGTTACGAGGACCTCTAGTGGTTAAAATAGGAAGTTCAAATCCAGATCTCAAAATGTTATGCCACTGAATGCAGCTTCGTATTTTAGGACGCAGGATAGAGGGTGAACGGCTGAGTGTTATTAACTCCCTGCTGCACAGAGACATTATAGTGGAGTGAGCTGTCAGGTGCACCGATGGATGTGGCATGTGCAGGCGCTGACTAGAAGGCATGTCTGAATTAAATGACATGTTCCTTTTTACACCTGAGCCAGCGCACAACTCGGTGGCCTTCAGTCATCACTGGGCTTGTAATTTGAAATGTATTGACTTGCTTTCAGTCGAGTATGAGACCTTCTCAAAGACCTCTCACCCAGGCAAGAGAAATCAGCAGCTCTTTGAGAAGCGTGGACTGTGTCAAGACGATTCCTCTGATCTCACACTGGACATACAAACAGTCCTGTTTCACAGTGGTTGCGTGTTGTTTTTTTCTCCGGGGTTGCAGCAGTGTTCACAGGATGTGTTTGATCGCCAGGTAGCTGCTGCCGAGGGTAGGTGATATGCGGTATTAAAGGTCGAGGACAGAGGGAGATACAGAGATTGATCGGAAGGATGAGGACATGGCGGGGAAGATAGAGTGAAGACAAATAAGTCAGTGTCAGCCTTTGGCATTTCTTTACACTGCACACCCCTGCTGAGTTTGAGCACCAGCTGCAGGTTTCATTGTTCCTCTGGTACTAATGTTTGCTCATGTCAATGAAAGGAGTCTTAACGAGTTTAAATTTACATACAATCTTTATTCAAGGTCATAGACATCTTTCAAAGGTATAACCCAATAAACAGCAACACAGGCATTTACAATTCAAGGACAAATAATTCACTGTTACGATAACATATCGAAGGTGTTTCGCCTCTGAAGATACCAGCCTGTTGCCTTCAAGTCCGGCTGGCAGACCACAAACCATATACTCATTAACAATACTTCTATATTATATATACCTCAAACTAAACATGTCCATGTCAGCACTGATATTCTGTTCACAGTCTGATGTCAATGAGGCCTTTGACTTCTTTCCCCCCCTCCATTGTGGCCAGTTTATGAAATGCAGTTCTTTTAGGACATGAAAACTATGATAATACTACACTGAACAGCTTCAGACTAAAATATTTTTGTTAAATTTGAAAATCACAAAAATAAATAAATCTACTCAACCAATACTGACCAGTTTGAATGTCTATGGACAACATAAGGACATATTTAATACTGTGACTGAACACTGACAGTTGTATATGCTGTGTGTGTGTGAAGAAAAATAATGTCTTTCATGTTAAGTATCACCCGCCCACATTGATAAAGATTGACTTCTATATTGTGATTTATAATTGATCTTTATATAATTTCAGCTTCATTAGATCATATAATAGTTGTTTACATTCATTTTTTGTAAACGTTTGCCCCGTAATGAACATGAAATATAATTGCAACACTGAAAATTAAGATGATTTAACGTTGATGGATAAATAAACAATTTGTTACTGCTGCCAAGAACTGTTGCAAATGTTTATTTGCAGGATTACCCAAAAATGATCATCAAACTTGATGGAAGTATGCAGTATTGCCATATGCAGACACAGGACATTTCGGTGTGGATCACGATCCAGGGGCGGATTCAGGATTTATTCTTTTACACTTTCTTTAACATTGTGAAATTGCGAGGCGATTTCCAAAATTTGAGTTGATTTCTCAAAGAAAACTTAATGGATCTTGATGAAAAAAAACTGACAGATCCAAATAAAAATCCAGATCTTGTGAATTGTGGTTTCATAAGGAGACTTGGGCCTTGGCAGAGGTATGGCTCTACTGAGTTTCATTATAATGTTATATGATGTTATGTTGATTTGGATCCGATGGAGAGTGATTTCTCAGCAAAACTAACATATTCTGTCTAGAACGGTCTTAAACATATAGGGGAAAGATGGTCTTAAAGGATTCCTCCCTTCTGTATGCTAAAGACATATTTCTTGAACACCTGAACGATCGCTGTAATGCAGCACACTCTCCAGGCATAGATATGTTTTTTTTGCGTGCTTCATCCTCACAGCTCCACAGGGTAACGACAAAGCACGACACAAGCAGCTACTGTAAAGATACATCACTATCAAAATGCTGTCGGTGTGAAGATTTTGGTGCTAAGTTCTCACTACTTGCTACAGTGTATACTACATATATTACTACTTTTGTAATCCTGTTTTGTCTGTAAGGTGTGCGTTATTCTTTTTTTTGTGTGAATGCAAGCAGAAAATACTTTTCCTTTGTCTGACGGCATGTTTAACAATTGTAAACTTTAAGCTACATTTTCAACAGTAAGGACTTAAACCTAAAGATAAGACTTAAGTTGTGTTTGGCTGCTGTTATTCGTCTGGATGTTTAGCCTGAAAAATCTGGTGGTGAGACTCACAAACTGTGTCTTTAACAAGTACACACATAGCAGACAAGGACTTGGCTCCAGTCTGAGGATTTTGTTCTGAGTTCCAAAATTTGTCAGTGAGTGGAAAATCGGGATATGAATTGTGTTGTGTGAAGTAGGTTTAACTGATTCCCTGAAGCATGATTGTTCCCAGGGACTTAAATCAACTGTCTGGTTTGGAAAGTCTGATTAATGGTCAGTCAATGTAAACACAGGAATTTGAAGATTTATATAACAGATATTTCTTTGCTCTAACAAGGAAGAAACAGTTTTAAGCCTTGTTTGTCCACGAGTTTGTTTAGTTAAAATTAAAGATGTTTCAAAAAGTCTTATTTTTAAAAACACAATCAACTATTCTAGATTTAATCCTTCTCCTGGTTTAATTAAAATACTCACTAGAGTAGCTTTGTACTCACAAGGTGAAAGTTAGATTAGAGGTTGTGTTTTTCCGCAGTAACATGAAAGTCCTAACCTTTCAGTCTGGGAAGCACAGCTTCAGAGGACTGGAGAGAGCCGGAGCAATGAGAGCTGCTGCTGGGAGCCAGGTCTTAAATTATTTCCCACACTGACACACAAACTCGATGGCTGTTTCCAGAACTTTCTAGCTCACTAGCTGCAATTAGCATCATAAACATTTTCAGAGCAATACTATAATGTTGTGAGGCCACACACTGTGTTATATTTGGGAGATGCCACAGTGTATTTTTACCCTTTACATTTTCAGATCTCCTGGTGAGAAGAATAAGCAATAAATGGCATTCTTATCAAAATGAAATATTAACCTGAAATATTATTAAGATTAAAACTAGCTAAATAACTTGGCTTGCTACTTTTTTAGGACTTCTTCAAATGAGTTGTTATGTCATAAACTTATAATGCAGCTGCAATCATCATATATTCTTTGTCTGTATCATTTCAGTGGCTCGTTCATTAACTGCTGTCTCAATAATATCAATTAGGGCAGAATTGGAGGCGTACAAATGTAAGTTGTGCGTGTTTGTGTGTCTCAGGGCAGCCTCAGGGCTCCCTACTGCCGATCCGTCACACCGGCCTGAAAACACCAACCTTTAGAATAAAGTGAAAAACCCCAAAGCTACGCGTTGTTCCTCCATGATTCCCTTCATCTACATTAGGTACTACAGGACATCCTAATTAAGCCATTTATGCATTTTATCCCCACAATGTTTGTGAAGAATGTTGAAAAGTCTCGACACCTGTTAAACTCCCCTGCAACTGATGAGCAGATCTGAGGTATAGATTTAGACTCTGACTGAATACTATTGGATATGTAAGCTACTTCCACAAAATAGTTCTGAAATCTTAAATCTATCATATCAAAGATCATACAACAAAGATAACATTACCTCATTACAAAAAATATAGACTAGTAACATTTAGGATCAACTATCCATTCAATTCTAAAATATAGCTCAAGTGAGACAGCATAGGGTTGCACAGTGACAGGATGTTCATTTTCCTAGGAAGAAAACTTCACTGTTTTCCATTTTTTTCTCTTTTCATTTTGGTATAATTACTGAACAAACAATAACATTGGAGAAAAAAAATCTAATATTGTAAACATCATACCAGTACAAAAGCACAGGTTGCAAGACGAGGTCAGAAAACACCAATGCAGGCAGCGCTGACGGCTTCTACTCCTCCTCCATTGACTTCTCAATCTCCTTCAGCCTGCGGACAAACTCCTGAGCCTCTCTGTCTCCGATGCGCGCTTCCAGCATCCTCATGATTGGCTTCTCTGGAGGGGAGAGCAAACAGATGAGAGTAGTTCCTACACCTGACACAAATATCACTAGATTGAATGGCTTTTCATGTTGTATTGAAGAAGTAATTGGAAACCCTGACCTAAACCCTCTGGTCTCCAAAGAAGCCAATATTACGTTTGTGTAAAAGAAAGAAAGAAACATTTCTAACATGGCCTGGAACTATATGTACCACTGGGTTTACTGCGAGACAGGTGCAAAATGACCGGCTGGACACTCTTGCCGGCAGGTGAGGCGTTCGGTCTCCCCGGCCAACAGAAGTCGCTGAGAGGAGCCATGGCTTCGCCGGCAAAGTCGTTGGTGGAGAGCCAGTCATAGTCCATCACAGTGAAGGTCAAACAGGCAAACCTGTGTCTGTACTGCTCAGGACTGACGTGGCTGGAAGAGACCAAATCAATCAGGTTTATAGATGTGTAACATCAAGCCCAAAAGTCCCCTTAAAGACAAATTCAAATTCACTGATGAAGGTTTTTATTTGGATCTGCCTCGAACTGAACACACTGTTATATATCCCCTAAACCTGTTGGTGTACTCACAAGTAAAATAATTCGTCAAACACTGGGTGGAGGGTCTTGAGCTTCACTTGCGTGCGTTGACTCTTGGCCATAGGGAAGAGGTGATGGGGACAGAGCTCAACTATGACGAATGGGTCGCTCAGACCTGGTGACGACCAGAACAGTGAAAACTCCACTTCGAAAACATCAACCTGTATTTGAGTCAGACCTTTTGTTATGTTTTACCATTGGCATCCAGTGCGATGATATCTGCAGCATGCAGAATTTCCACCGTCAGTCTCTGCTCCGGAGCGTCATAATAGCACTTCACACTGATCCGACCGTAACGGGTGTGTTTGAGTGTTTTCTGCAACATTAAGTACATGTTATATAATTCACATACTATTTAAAAGCAAAATGTACAACTATCTCACCAAACAGACTAATCAAATCATGAAGGAATCATTTTAATCACTCGTCTGTATTCAGCATTTTTACACCTACATGCACATTAAGGTAAATTAAAGACATTTTTAAGACAGCGTACATATGTGGACTTCTTCAGGCAATGTTGCACTAAAGTGTCCCACCTGTAAAATAACAAATGTGGGTCAAAGATCCCAAAACAAATATGGGCCTTTTTTTTTGGCAAACAGGCAATGTGTAATCTGGAAGAGGTCTATGTGGTAAATAGTGAAAATGGCCCAAATAGCACAAGATAGAGTCAGGCCACCGTTGCACCTTCAGTTGACATAAGGTATTGCTATGGCTTACTTGTGGCCCGGATGTGGCAAACAGGCGCGGACTGCCACAAGTGCCATAAATCCACATGGTGTGCGGGCCGTATGACAGTGTGGGCCAAATCTGGGCCAAAACAATGTTGCTATATGGGTACAGCGAATGGAATTTAAGACCTATGTCAAGTACGCCAGATAAGAGGGAATGTCAGAGTCCCTGATAAACACTCACCCATAATTAAAGATAAGGTGAAGTAGACTGGCAGAGAATAACCCTCAAAATGCCAACTTATCTCAAAAACAACAAGGGCAAGTGTACTGTGATAAATTCTGACAGGGGTGTATATAAGTTGCCTGTTATCAGTTCTGGTCTTGGTTGTAGTTTTACTGTTATTGAACAAAACAAATTTGAGAGCACATAAAAATAGCCCTTAAATGAACACTAACATAATTGAGACCAACATAAACATATGCAGTATATAATATCTTAATGTATTTAAGACATTTTAGACTTTTTAAGACCCTAAAGAAACTGTGATGTTGAAGTATCCTGTCTTTAAAGAGCCTGGTAGAAGGCAATTTTACACTCTGAGGCAAAATAACAGAAGAGTGCTGTCCAATCGATACTTTCGTCAGCCAGGTATGTTCAAACGCACTTGGTGGGAAATCTTCTCCAGATAGTACTGCTCAATCAGCTCAAAGGAGGAACATTTATTCAGCCTGAGCTCCTCGTCCAGGACCTGAAGGGACATGAGGACGGTCAGACAGAAATAAATGACAGGGGAGGTGGAGGGACATACATCTGACCTGGGCTGATAGATTACAAGAAATTCTACCTTGTAGTCTCCGCTCTTCATGTCTTCCAGGGAAAGACCCTGTCCCTTAGCGTAGAAGAATTGCAATGCAGTCTAAACAAAATCCAAATAAAAAGTAAATTGCAAGCTTTATAGCAACACATTCAAGCCTTTACTTTTCGATAGACTGACATCTCAGCATAGACATGTTGTTCACACAAACAGCATGGTGCCTCGACAGGAGGAAAACACCAAACTCCAAACTCAGCCCACTCATGTGGCACTTGCTTCTTATGCAAATCACAGCCAAATACAAAGCAGCTTCTAAATTGTCATTCATGTAGGAACTCAGCTCAGCAGAGAACTACTACCTGGTGACTTTCCAAACATCTAATTTATGCTAATGATGCACAACATACTGAGCTAATTAAAGGATGATGATGATAACAGTGGTGATGATTATCATTACAGGGGTGACACATGTCTTTTTTAAGCAGACTATACTCTTCTTAGCTGGTGTGCTGTGGGAGTGAAGCTGAGCACAGTCACGAAAGAGTCATTTAAGATGAAAAAAGGATTTCACTGAGCACTGACCTCCACTGTGTACTGGAAGCGGTTGTAAAACTCCACCTGCACGCCTCTGTTTTCTGTCACTGTGTCCAGGATCATTCGCAGGAGTAGCTCCCACATGCTTTGGAGAGCTCTGCGAGGCAGCAGAAACAATGAGGAGACACCCACAAGTTTGTGTTTACCGGCGCATCCAATTACACCCCTGCACCCCCTCACTCAGTCTTGATAATAGCTTAATAATAATAACTTGTAGCACAAAACATGTTTAAAGGGTGTTATCAAATCTGCAATCTCACACATGCCTACACAGTTGTCACCCAATACTTTTAAATGTATGAAATCTTATGTAGAGAAGCAGAGACCATGGCTGTGTCTCAGTTCGGGGGCCGCATCCTTTAAAGGCTGCATTTGAAGACCAATTGCGTCACAGTGGCGCAAATAGGCTGTCCCACTTCGAAGGCTCCTTTAAAATACGGGCAAAAAATGCATCCTTCAACCGCAGAGAAACAAAGGCTCCGACAGGTGGATCCTTCCTGGCCCAACCTATCCCAGGATTCATTGTGTTTCGGTGACCAACTGTAATGGTTTCAGCAAGCGATGGCACGTCCAAAGCTTGCGTATCTTGCTTCAAACCGAACATTTAACGGTACACGTGAAAAAAACAACAAAGGGCATTTAAGCTTTCTCATTGTGTCTGTTGCTAGGCAACAGCAATAAGGGCAGTAGTTGGTGACACCGATCACGGAAAAATATCGTCGTTGAACATTTTGGTTTGCCCTTTGCGGTTGGAGGCCCACAGAGGCCGCCTTCTTTGTGGGCCTGACCTGAGACGTAGCTCATGAAAGGTATCATGTAGTTTGAGGATATATTTGTCAAGGAGCTGGAGTGATTTAAACATTTAAAGCTCTTTGTGTCCTGCCACCTCAGGATTTCAGGCCTTTGCCATCAATGCCCCCAGTCTTTGGTATAGACTCAGTATATAAATGTGTATGTGTGTGTGTGTGTGTGTATAAGATAAAATCATTGACATCTTTAAGGAAAACAGTGGTCAAAGGTAGAACATTTGAAACTCTAAATACCAGATTTAACAGTTTGATTGCATTATGTAAAGTACAACAACTGCTTTATGTGTTTTTTTGTTTCATTTATGATTTAATGATTGTGTGCTAGATGACAAGATGTACTAGATAAACTTTTTAAATTAGCTTTTGCATGCAGCATGTGTATTACATGCGTATTAATATAACCAAGAACAGTTATGGTAACTGACGTGTACAAAAAGAAATTAAGTTATTTCAACAGGGAGGAGAAAAGAAGAACTACCTCGTCAGGTTCTCCTTGACGAGGTTTTCAGTGAGGATGCACATCGTGTCTTGTAAGTACTTCATGAGAGGTGACACAGCCTGGGAGAACATCACATTAACACATATTACATGTAATGCAGGAACGATCGCTGTGACAAGAAGGAAGGGTGCAGAAAAAAAACACTGCCGGAGGCCTTACGTCGTCGTTGTTGATGGAGTCTGGAGACAAGCTGATGTGCTGGATGTATCTGCGCAGCTCAGGGAGCATCTGCACAGAAATGATTTCTCACACAAGTGCACGCTGGTGTATGTGTATACACCAGCGTGCACATATGGTATCCCAATATGCAGCAATGGATCATAAAAAGGACAAATATAACTGAAACCCATTATTGTCATCTCACATTTGGATTCGTTTTTAATGCAGATTGAAAGACATCTGTTTTCACATTTATATTCGGTTCAAATATATAAAACACCCATAATCCCTAAGATGTATGTATATTTTTACCCAAATTTTGAAGTCACTGCTTGTGGAAACCTTACACCATCAAGGTATAAGGCACAGAAATTAAGAGCAGTATAGCTTCAGTGTCTTTACTGTGACAAATCACCTTGTCAGTGAGCAGCGTGATGAGACGCTTGGCCTCTCTCTGCAGGTCTAGGTCCATGTTGTAAAGCTGCCCGTTGAGGGCCTTGTAAACCTGCTCCTTCCCCTCCGCCCCGCAGGACTCCTCCATGGCCCGCTCCACACCTTGCCAGTCCAGGTCATGGGGCAGGCGACCCAGGAACACGCGCACATGCTCCATGTTGTTCAGGGCGATGCAGAGCTAGCGGAAAGCAAGGAGGAGCCGAAGAGGAGAGACAGAGGGAGGAGGTGGAGAAACAAAAGAAGGAAAAGAAGCAGGGCTACAGAGAAGTGGAGGGATGGGGTGCGAGTGTGAATGATTGGATTGTAAACATATCTGTTCCCCTGTTAAGCCCTTTGTGTTGCCAGGGAGAACACTCGCTGACATTTACTTCCCTCGTCATCGTGCTCCCTCCCCCAGTAGTGTCTTGCTACAGGCGTTACCTGCACTGTGAAGCTCTTGTGGTCTTTGCCCAGCTGGTTCCTCTCAATCTTGCGTGTTATCATCTCTGAGTAGCACACAGCCTCACTGCAGAAATTCTGCGATGTATAAAATCACAGTCATGTTACAACAGGGAAACTCCTAATTTCTTTTTTGTTTCTATTTTAGGTTTACTTTCATTAATATCTTTCATTAATCCTGATTATATGTGTTGTGTCTATACTGAGTATTGTTTGTGTGTATGCAGGATGTGAGTACAGGCGTGTGTCAACACTGGAAGTGGCACTCACGTCTGTCAAACGAGTGACAAAGATGAAGGCGCCTGCGGAGTCTGGCCAGGCCAGCTGGAGCCAGATCTCTCGTACCTGGCTGAAGCATGTCGTCACTTCCACGGGAGAGGAGCTGTGTTTGGCCTGCTGCACGGGCTCCAGCTGTTCGATAAACACACGGAGCATGTTCACAAATAAAAAAATGTTTTTGAAGACTATGTGAAACCTTTGCTTCTTCAAATTCTGTTGTACTTCAATGCCCCATTGAGCTCGATAAGGTTACATAAATAATTATAAGCACATAATATTGTAATTTTAAGCAGCTATAAAGACATTTTCTAGTTTATATTAATGCATTTGTCAGCTAACATGCATTCATACTGTATATTGTAGTTTTAGAAGCACATTAAGACATTTTCAAGTAAAAATAGCTTTTACTTTATATTCTTATACGCTTTAATTCATTCATTTTAATGAAATAAAAACATAAACCTGGATACTAAAAACTATTTAAAACAAACTATCTGATCTAAATTATTACATCTACCAAGGAGAACGTCTATTACGACTACGATTACAATAACATTTTGGTATGGATCTGGATCAGGGGGCAGATTGAGGTATTATTTTCCTCTTTCTTTAACACTGTGATAGGGTGCTGACATTGATTTCTCAGAAAAAAAGTCATGATGCTGATGCTGATGTTGAAATACGAGTGTGGTGCAGAACCCTGCCAAAAATGTAACAGTGGTTTCATGAGGACACTGTTGGCGGAGGTGTGCGCTCCACTGAATGCCATTCTTATTTTCATTTGCATCATTTCAAGTGCAGGTGTCTCTTACTTGGTCCGTGTCCACTGCTTTACGGATCCTGTCGCAGGATCTGTCGTGAACGATCTGCAGCCACTTATGAATCGAGGACTTGAACCAGTTATGGAAGCCCGTCAAGGCCAACATTTTAGCGTCCCTGTCAAAGAAAAAACCTAGCCTGAGTTTTTATCTTCCGACTGACATTTCAAACAAATAACCAACAGACAGAGCCTTTTTTTTATGCTGCTATTTGAACAGTCATTAGTCAAAACTGATAACCCACTTCAGTGGAAGAAACTCCCGAAAGCCTTTGAGGGTTTTCAAGGACATGAAGAGCTCGAAGATGGTCTCTCCCATTGTTTGACTCAGTCTGGAGTTCTCCTGCTCCAGAGTCCCACACACTCGCTCCATTGCTACATTAACATCATCCGCCACCTGAAGGGCGAAAGAATTTGACTGTGTTCGAGAATGATGTGTCAAGGTAACAACAATACAGTGTTGCTGAAATACTTTTTACTTTTCACATACCTGTTTCTCCAGCTGTCTGTATGATATGCTGAAGAAATCTACTTTCACAGCACTGTGAGAATAAAAAACTCAAGTTGAAATGGCCATAGTCCAACAATGCAAATCAATGTTTCTGGGGAGGGAGCACAAAACCTTTTATTTTCTATTTTATTTACAGTAGAGTTATTCACCTGTAGAAGAGCTTGTTGTAGATCTTCTGGGCCCTCTGTATGTCTGCACACACAGCATCTACCACCTGAACCAGCTTCTTCAGCTGCTCTTCCAGGGTCTACATTAAAACAATTATACAATCAGCATCCTGTATATCAATTCAGTTCAAAGGCATGGTCACTTCAATTAAAAAACATACGAATATACATGATTTGTCACCATTATTACTTAAAGGGATAGATTCAACTTGAAACGGCATCATTTACACCATGTTTTTAGCCTAATTGTCAGCCATTATCCTCCTCCATGTTACTGCAGTTCTTGTGAGAACTCTTGAATATCGTGAGTTCTCGCTGATGTTTTCTCGCGAGGACTCGCAAGTATAGCAAAAACTTTTCAATCGTATTGGATTTGGCTGCGACGCTGTTTACCCCTGAAACTTACACCTCTCCGTCGGCATAGTGGTGAATAGATGAGTGTATTTTCATTTTTGGGTGAATTATCCCTTTAACATTAAATCAGTTTAAACTTACCCCATCCTCTGGTTTATAACGTGCAATTAAGCTCTCGTACCACTCAGCCGTTCCTTTCTGTTGAAATAATTACACAAATTAAGAAGATTAGAAGGATTAATTAAGTATGTTTGTATAATCAAAGCCTACAAATGTGTCAAACACATTTTACAGCCACATAACAAGCATCTTTTTTTCCTGCTTTATCACGAACATAACAGCGATATAGTACATACTGCACTCTGTGATTGGTGGAGATACGCATCGTGTCACCTTTGTTTTCATAATATCAACCTGTGTGTGCTGCATTCATGCAATACCAACAATCTGCAATAGGACATGTATTAAGAGCAGCACTTCTCCCGTTGAATACAAACAGAATAATGTTTTATGTATTGCATATTCCATTGTTACCTTGACAGCAGTAGTGATGTCCAGATGCAGTTCATTTCGAAGAGGACATACGGTTTTAAACGCCTGCATGTTTTGCATGTAGCCAATCCCCCTGGCGTACACAGACAGGAAGGAGCATTACAAGCCAATAACCAAGGTCCTGTTAATGCTGCTTTCACGTCATACACCAACATATTATTTGTATAATTGAGTAAGGACACAAAAGCCACAATATTGCAAGGGTATCTCATCTTTAATTATTATATTTACTATATAAACCATGTCTGATAGCTGGGAGCTACACACACTTGTGGGTTCAGACTGTTTCATGGGGACCCCACAACTCCTATTGGGTCCCCACAAAGTCAAGCATGCAATAATATAGGTGTGTTTCTGAGAGATGTAGACGATCTTCTTCGATGTATCGATCACTGGTCAGAGCTTGATTTCTCCAGCAGCATACGTCTTTCAGTAATTAGCTGATGTTACTGGCATGTGTGTGAAACAGACTCATTAAGTAGGGGGAGTTTTCGTCCATATTTTTTTTTGATGGAAACTGGAAGCTGCGGACAAAAGATGGTGATTTCTGTTGATCCAGAACAGGATATTTCAAAATCTAATTTTGCACGGACTATCCATGGTCTCCAATGGATTGTTTTAAAATTTGCCCTTGGTCAACACATTGTTGGCGACAATGTGTCTTGAAAATGAATGCATGGATTTCCATGAAATTCACTGTGGACATTCATGTTCTCCAGAGGATGAATGCATATGATTTTGGTGATTTTCCCTGAGACAAAAGTCCCACATGTACATGAGCAAACCATATCTATATTTAAATCTGTAATCTTCAGTTAGATTGTCATGGCTGCATGGACCTGCAGGGATGATAGGACTTGGTCAGTGATTTTACTGGTGGAATGGAAGCATTATATGATTTAGAGAATAGGACTGTGTACATAAAGTAAAAATATTGACATCGTTGCTCATGACCAAAAATGTATAGCATTTGGCCAGGAACAAATCTTTAACGTCTTTTGATATGAGATGCTTGAGTAAGCATCAGTGCTTCCACCACACAGTGAATAACTGGCTGTAGTTTACTGTGTTTGTTCAGGTGAGAGGTTGAGCGTGTTCTTGATATGGCAACAAGGGTGGGTGCGTGATGTAATGGCAGTGTGACTTTACCTCAGCATAAGCTCGTAGCGCGTAATGGCAGCAGCACTGGTGCAGGGGAAAATCTGACGCATGTTCTTCATCAGGCACAGGCAGTGCTCTGTGTACAGCCTGAAGCTGTCTGACAGCTGCCTCTCCTGGACACAGGAAGGGCCCTCAGTTATAGCTTCAAGTACACTGGCTGTGAGGCATTTTTGGCCAAACCAAAAATCTTGATGAATGTCAGTGACGAGCTGAGCTAATGAGGTGACTGTTTCCACATGATGAAAGGTGTGTTCCTACTGTGAGGCCAATGGTGGGGAACCTACCAGGTCTCCCCTCACAGCGGGAGGGTCCCACTCTGCATCGATGGTCCTCAGGAGGCGCAGCAGCAGGGAGTAGCACACCCTCTGGGTCCGATGGTGGCTGCTGTAGCACTGCCAGCGACTGTGTTAAAAAAAACTAAGTATTTACCTTTTGCTTGCCGAGGGTTACAAATCTGATCTGATCAATTTTATTCCTCCATTAACACTCACATAATGGCCTGTTGGATAGGTGAGAGATCAGTCTGCACAGCATGGTGAGTGAGCACCGTCCATGCTGGAGGACAAACCTGTCCGTTCCAGTTGTACGGCTCCTTCTGGAATTATTTGTGGAAGATTATCAGGTAATTTCAATTATCACATCTTTTCAGCCATTCATACATCAAACACATTGTTGTATTTTAGAATATGGCAGGTAATCAAGAAATACTGCAAAATGTAAACATATATATAAAGGAAAAGGATTTTATTGAAACTTAATAGTAATAGTCTGAGACAAGGAAGAGCCCATTCACTTTTGGAGCTGATTCACTTTTTTCCCCTTTCTTTAACATAGTGAGATAAAGGGTATTTCCTTTTAGATACAGAAGATATATAATAATGTGAAATTTACTATATGTCTTTTAAAAACACAAGCGTCACCAACTGCCTCATCAGAAACTGGTTTTGGTTGTGGAACACATGAGAGCAGGTACGTCCAGTGTTCTTCTATCTAGATTTTACACTGGAAATGTCCTTGTAGTTAAAACAAAGCTTAAGAATTTCTAATCCAATTTTGCGACCCCTGGAGGCCGTGCTGTTTGTGTCTTGTCCCAGATGACAAGCAAATCAACTGATTAGATGAGGCTCTCCTTAAGCTCAAGGGCTTTTCACACAAAAATAACAAATTAAAGTGATTCAGTGATTTAAAGGTTTTGTGTTAGAGTAGACAAAAAAAAAAATCACAAATAGATTTAGACGGTTTTGATAATATCTGGAGGTGACTCACCTTAACATGAGCATGCTCATACTCCACAATCTGACTCAGCAGTTTCTTGTGAATAGAGACATTAGATTCCTTCTTGGACAAAGTTGTGTCCCTCTGAAGGATTGAAAAATGAATAACATTAACATTAAAAGCTGCAGGCTATCATTATCTACACTAAGAAGACGTTACACAAACCTGGCTGGTGAAGAGCTTCAGCATCAGGTGACATTCTCCCTGAACTTTAGACGCACTCGACCGAGGCTCCAGCTTGAACCAGGTGTCGTAGCCTGCAACAGGAATCTCCTGCAAGAGGGACAACAGCCATAATCATTGGCACTGTGACACTTCCAGGGACATCCATGTTTGCATCCTTCAGTCTAATCGAAGTTGTGTTGGATTTGTCACAGCAGCTCGGTACCTCTGTCTAGTGAGGGTTAGTTTGGAAATTCTCCCACTTTAAACACTCACGTTCAGAGGGATGTTGATGCATCCGAGGAAGTCATCGGCGTTCTCCTCGGAGCCCGATGACGCAGATCCATTGGCACGCATGGACTTGGCAATCTGCTTGAAATACCTGACAAGAGAGAGCAACGGGCTCTGAAGAGTTTCTCTTGCTTGTCTCTGGTTGAGTCCCTAGTGTAGTTATAATCCAAGAGTTTAATTTTTTAAGCATTTAGCTAAAGCTTCTATCTGCAGGGACTTACAATTAGAACGACAGCAGAACACGTTTCCTTTTTTAATGAAAGACAATTTTGTTTGTTGAAATGAAAATTGCCCATTTTCCACCACAGCATTAGGACCTTTTGTCCCTCGGCTATTATTGGCAATCTCAGGTTTTCATTAGACAGTTGTGCCATTTACTGATCTCTCCATGACACGCCTGAAGTCTGTGTTCTCTGTGTGCACAGCTTTATCGACAGTAGGCTTTCCTATATGTCAGTCTCTCTTTAGGGTGAAAGGGCAAAAACCAAATGCTCTCTTAATTAACCAACAGGATGGTGTCAGATTTTCAGCCTCTTCATTCATCAAGTGCAACATTTCAAAATGAAATGACCCTTTGATTGGAAAGTTGCCACAAAGCGATTTGGAAGAAACCAACTTATATAAAGTAAGTGATCACAAAAATTGTGAACCAGCTGCCCTGTAACCCTTAGATTAGTTTAGATTGATCGTAATTCAGGATGAAACAATGCAAGTTTCCTCTACCTGCCCATTCCTCTGAGTCCACTGACTTCATTGAGCTTCTTGCAGGCTTCAGCTACAGACACGTCATCGTCGTGATCCCTGAAGAACAAAGAGTCAGATGCCAGATGTTATTATTACAGCATCTCATTTCCGGGAGACACACGTTTTGTTATCTTTGTAACAATTAACGGAACCGAGAGTTGACGTCCTCCAATCGAGACCCATTGTAGCTGAGGCGTCAGCCACTTCCAATTTAGAGCTGAGACATCAAGATTAAAAGACAACTGAATCTCTATAGTGATAATGTTCACACTCAAGGACATAATGTGTAAAAGCATCAACTATAACCAGAAACAATGTTTTATCCTATTATCTTTTAATTCAATGTTGTTGCAAAACAAAAATACAAATGTTGAAAATACCTTTGGAAAATACTGCCGACTGTGCTAAAGACATTAACTGGATGTTTTCCATCGAGTTTATTTTCTATGTTACCCATTATGAATGATAAATAATAAATACATCAAATCAGAGCAAATTGAACAATAATCTAACACAATATAAAAAGTTTTCATTCCCCCTTGCATGGTTATGTATGAGGAGTTCAAGGTGTCGTCCGTGCACAAATCTTACCATATGTCCAGATGTAAGAGGTCATTGTGAGCATCATCTATTTCACTGTAAGAATAGAAATCTCCATGAGTAAACACCAACAATAAATACCTTTCATACTCCTTCCGCAGAGTCAGAAATGTGTTGCACTGTTCACATAACTGACAGCATTGGGTGTTAAGTGTGAAACTGTGAATCCCTTGTGTCACACATCCAGTTTCACCATGTCCTGCACTTGGTTAAAAGGTTTAAACGGCTGCACTCACAACACAAAGTGCTCGTCCCACACCGGGTTGAGAGTCTCTGGTTTGACCTCGGTGACGTGGATGCACCTGGCGGGTAGCACCTCCTTGGTGCTGGAGCGCTTCTCCAGCTTCTCCTTCCTCTTCCTGAAGCTGAACTTCCTCTCCTTCTTCTCCTCCACCTCCCGGGGGCTCTGGCCCACCAGGATTCCCAGCATGCAGTAGGGGTCACTGTACCCTGGTAGGCCGCAGTGTGACACAAAGAAAAGGTCAGCGCACATGTGAAAGTGATGATTAGTTTACGGCAGCAAGAAGAGGGACGCCGAGACAGTTACAATTGGGTTCAGTTTTATCTTTGGAAAGTGCTCGTCAGTGTGATCACATTGGAAAGTGGACATACTTTGTTTTGGTCGAGGGATGTGAAACAATACCTGCAGTTAGCTCTGAAATAATACCAAAGTCTAATATTATATTAACAAATTTATCAGCTCTTTAATGAGGCACACATGAGGTGTTGGTCACTGATATAATGCGCGGTAGGTCACAAATATTTTATATTACACAATGTAAGCTATATACAGTATCATTCGGCCAAAAGTTTTATTAACATTTTCATATCAAGACCCTATCCTTGAAAAGCTAATTACCATCTGACGCATGAGGAGAAGGTGAGCGTATTCACTTTGATGACACTATTACAGCCTCAATTAAAATATGAGGTTTAACATTTTCCGAAGCAGATTTGATTTAAACACCCACAGATTTTATTATAAAGTTTCATTATTGTTTCACTGAATTTGAGCTTTTCTTCTTGTTTTAATATTTCTGCACGACCTTGTCATCCCTCATAGCCCCGCTCTTACCTGTCCATCTGCTGACCAGCTGTTACTCTCAGTACCCTGAGCAAGACTTGAGACAGAGGGAGGTAGAGCTTTTACTGAGAATAACCTCCCTTTGTCAATCAGACAAGCTCAGTGTCCTCTTTTAAAATGATTTTCAAAACAAATTTTCATAAACTGGCTTTTTAATCCATCGTCTCCAGTATTAACTTGTTTCCACATCACACAGAATTTTCTTTTCTAATGTAAAGCAATTTGCAAATCTGTTAATAGTTTTTTATTTTTATATTTTATTAAACAAATAGACTTTTATAGAAGAAATCAAACCTTGTGAAAGGTTTTAGTCATAAGGAATCAAATTTTCATTTATTTTCATCATGACATTACAGAAGGTTGTTGGTGAGCACTTTGGTATTATACCCATCATGCATTGTATTATCTCTACAATATAACTTGTGTTATTACTGCAAAGTACAGAGTCTATTGTGGTGATGTGCTGAGGAATCTACAGTGTGACAGGAGGTGAATCACTTGAAGATTTATTGAGGGAGTGCCATTTAAAACTTTTCAATCCACCATTGTTCCATAAGACAATTTTCATTTTGTTTTACATCAGTTACGTTTTATTTAATGCTTGAAATATCTCACCATTTGCGTCCTTGGCCATCAGACTCTTTGCTTTCAAAACAGAAACTCTCAAGGAAAAATTGGCTCGCTGTGGAAAAAGGAATTTACAAGCTTTTCAGTGAGAAACAAGGTCACGCAGTGAGTACATTGCAGTGCATTCCCCTTACTTGATGCTCTTGTGACTCTATTAAAGTAAATATCAGCGTGCGTTATAAAATTGATGTACAAATCTATTCTGCTTTTTTTCACTGGGTATCTTACAGCTTTGTGAGTCAAAGGGCAGGAAAACTCAATGCACTGGCAAAGGCAGCATAACTGTAGATAATATTTACACAGCCAAACATTTTTACTCGGTCACTTTTTCAAAAAGGCACACAGCGCTTAACAGATACATCTGCAAAGTCCCTGGCAGTCAAGTGAAGGTCTTATATACATCGAGACTCCAAGGTCATTATGATGTACTCAAACTGTGATACCAAACCTGCAGACTCTCACCTTATTACTACTGCACTGTTCCAACTATCGGCAAAAATAAGTATTATATTGATAATGATGTTGGAAATCAGAAATGTATGAGATGTATATTATTCTGTTGTTCCAGGCACCAGCTGATTTCCATTTCATTCTCTGTTGCAGCATATTGAAATCTATAACGAGACTCTTTGCTTTGAAGAAATGTGCCTGATTCCTGTAATCAATGTCACAATTACAATTTCAATGTAATATTACATTTATTTCAAATTCAAAGATGAACAAAAAATAACACTAATGTAGACTTATATAACTCAAAAGATTTTAGGACGGATTATTATACTTTCAACTGCGAATACTTGACAGTCTAATCAATAAATTGAGTCATATCTCAACTATGTTTACATCAGCACAGAATGGAAATTTACATTTGTAACCAAAGTTCTCCCATAAGCACAAAAACTGATGAACAAGTGTGCATTGCCATGACAGCAGCATGTATGAACATGTATTGCCATGACAATATGGACAAATGGACAGTGCGTCATATACAAAATGTCTCACCTTGGATTCCTGAACTTTCTGGAGAATGATGTCATGTTCCTCTTCGCCCATATCGAACACCTTGTAGAGATGAACAGACACCAGAAAAATGGTTCATTATATATCTGTATTGGCGTGATTGAAATACGCTGCTGAGGCAAAAAAAGATCAGACATGTACAGACACAAATCCACTCAAATGTCAGTGAAGTTCCATTATGAAATCATTGGATCTGAACACACACTCTTCACACCTTGAACAAAGACGCCCACCGCAGACACGAGAGGCTAAAAATCCTTAGCATGACATCTGAATGAAGCTGATATCACAGCAAATATCTCACTGTGACTCCGCTTTGATGTTTAATCGGTTTTGAGGTGAGAACATCTGCTGAGAGTTGTACAGCAGCAAAATAAATAACATCTGTGAGGGTCTGTGAACATTTGTGTTGGATGGATGAACAGATTAGATAGATAGATAGATAGATAGATAGATAGATTATACATATATATATATATATATATATAATAGATATTAGATAGATAGATAGATAGATAGATAGATAGATAATACAATAGATAGATAGATAGATAGATAGATAGACAGATAGATAGATAGATAGATAGAATAGATAGATAAGACAAATAAGATTTGATACCTTGGGCAGGTACGTAAACAGTTCTTCGTCACTTTTCACGTGTTCTGTTGAATGCACTCCAACCCGATTGACCACCGTGTACACAGCCTCCTCATACAGCAGGTCCAGCTACATGAAAACAAGCTCCACTTAATAACAGCCCTTCAAAAATAAAAGCTCATGTTCCTTTGACTTCATGCTTTCTGCTCTGCTGCACATCAGAAGCAGGGATGAAAAAACCCACCGCTGAGTTGTGTTATTGTGACTTTTAGAACCTATTCCCTGCTGAAATACGAGGAAAAAACAGTGAGGCTGAGCTGACGCACCTCTGTCCTGCTGATTCTGTCGGGGATAAAGGCCTGGTCCACGTGCTCTTGGGGCGGCGGCACCGTGCAGGCTCCTTTTTGGCACTGTGAGGGAGCAGAACCAGTTCAGCCAAGGAAAAATCCACCTTTCTTAACAATGTGATGAGTAAGAACTAGAGATGCTAAGTTCCAAGTTAAGTATAGTATTCTCTATCATCAAAACTCTTCACTGGTTTCCTTTAGTCTGCCCTCCAGAGGTGGAAGAGGTATTTCAAATATGCTAAATATCTTTACATTTCAAACGTGTGTGTATGTGTAGTTCTTGCGCCAAAGAGGTTATGATTTTGCCTCTGTCCATTTGTTTGTTGGTTGGTTTCTTTGTAAGTAAATTTCTGCAAACAATATTGGTAATATTACCACAAATTTTGGTGTAATCCAAGAATTGTTTTCACTTTCTTTAAGACTGGGAGATTCAACATTTCAAAAATCTGGATCTAGTGAATTTAAATGTGATTTCATAGGGGGACTTTGGGGGCTTGGCGGAGGTATGCGCTCTACTGAGTGCCATTCTAGTTTATTTTCTAATCTTAAAGCTTATTATATAGTTTTTGTGTAAAATATTTTCAAAAAAACACAACTTAAGCTCTTAGAAGATAATAAAATGGTTCACCAAATTCAATACATGGTGTTGATGTTCTTTATAATTAGCTTTTTGCTTTGTTGTATTTACTCTGCTGACTTGCATCAATTTGGAACTAAAGTCAACACGCTCTCAGCAAACATGTCCACAAAGAATCTTTGCCTCGTTAGCAGTGGCAGCAGGAGGAGCTGAACATAGCCACTGACAGCAGCTTGTCACAGCTGAGCTTCCAGTCTTCAGAGCACCCAGCTCAACCCGGCCCTTCTGTCCACTGACGTTATTCTGGCCACGGCGGTGGGCACGAATGGCATTGGCGGGACGGCCTACTCACTACATGCACGGTTTTTCACATACGCAACAGACAGGAAGTTAAAAGTTTGGGTGTGGGTTACCTCAGCCTGGGCAGCCTGCAGCATGTTCTCCTGTTTCTGAAGGACAGCGTTCATACGCTCAAAGAACTCTGCGCTCTCCTCGGAAATCCTGCCAAGAAGAGGGAGTTCATGACAACTCTAAAAATAAAGATTAAACACTTGGAAAATGTGAATACGTGAGAAAAAAAAGTGGGGGGATTGCATGTTGTACTGATCAGTGTGGCATCAGAATGTTTCTGGATAGTAATTAAAAACACAGTGGGTTTCAGTGACATTGCACCGCATCCTGTTTACAGACACTATGGTGGAGCATCTGTCAATAAAGATGATCTCTCTCCTCCTCATGATGAGCTGCTAAGACTCCATCGCTTGCAGCTCAGCTCTTATCATCTATCAAGTGCCGTCTTATCTCACGCCACAACAAAAAAAGCAAAGCCGGTCGGGACCAAAGCTGTGAAGGATGCGACATGTCTGCACTCTGCATGAACCAAGTTAATCTACTATGATGAGCAGAGCTGTGTGCGAAATGCAAATGATGTTTTCTGTTTCCTCCAGGTGTGAGTGAATCCCGGACTCCCGCCGGCCCCAGTTGTCATGGTGATACAGGCACATTCAGGGGGAGGGGGAGTTAGCTGGCTGAACACCTTGGGAATCCCCCCACCACCACCACCACCACCACCACCACCACCACCACCACCACCACTTTCACCCTCACCTCTCCCCTCACCCAAATCTCTCACCACGCAACTTCCTTCCCAGCCCTTATGGAAATCACCAGGGCAGCTGGGAGCAGCTCTGATGTGTGTCTGAATCAGCCATATAACTCCTCAATCCCTCTACCCCCCCTCACTCCCACCCTCCCAGCCTCCTTTCTCATCTCTCTGACATCCCCACAACATTATGCAGAAGAGCTCGTCCGCAGAGGCCCCGTCACGCTCCTTTATTAGCGTCATTGCATCACAGCGGGCGTGTGGCAGCCCATCCCAGCACCCACTGACTCTCGCCATGGCGGGGGAGCGGATGGCAAACCCCTGAGGTATTGATGAACACTAATGGCAGCCATGCTGGGAGAGTTGGTCGGGTATGCACATGGAGTCAAATCCACTAACACATGAGAGGTGGATGTATTTAATTAGGATGTTAAAAGTTTTTTCACTCATCAAGTAGCAGTAGTTGTTTTTAAATCTTCACTGAAAAAATGTCATCTCACCCCTTGTACATATTACATGTTTCAATTTGGCTTAGCGTCCTTAACGTGTAATGGAACCCATGTTTTTAGTATAAGTACTGCCATACAAGCCAGTAGTCAGGTTTACCTTTAGCCTCAGAGCATCCTCAAGTTCAACCCAATCGTTGATTACGAGGCCAAAATTTTATAAATGACTGAATAATGTGTATGATCAACGTAAAAAACTACGTGCACTAAACTTTTTGTGTAAATAACATTTTTTTGAAAATTCAATGTAACATTTTTTGCAGTGTATGATATATTCTGAATTCACTGGTTACAAAGAATTTCATCATTCAGTTTCATTTTACTCCGACCCACACTTTAATGTCTAAGAAGAAAGAATTGTATGAAAGAAGCTTAAGCTGGTGAGTTTTGAGACGTTAAAATCATATATGAAATAAATGATAATAATAAATAATGAAAGATTCATTTTCTCTCGATCAAATAAACTATTGCATCAGGACTTTCAGCTCCAGTGTTTGTTGATTTAGCTAAAAAAACAACACACAAAAGAAAGAACGAGTTGTTATTCTCATCTGAAACACCTCAGTCAGTGTTTGAAAGCTTGAAAACACAAAAGCTGAATCTACAATCTGTCAATGACTCCCCCCCAAAAAAAGCTGTTCCACTGAAAAAGAGACGGAGTCTTTTGTGTGTTTTGAAGCTCGCCTATTTCCATTTGCACAAATAGTACAAATAAGATCGTAATACTCGCATTATGAGACACTCAATTCTTCCATCTTAAATCACCCAGGGCATTCTTCCATTCAGAAGTCTGTCCCATCTTCAATCAAAACAGCTTGAGGATTTGTCCGGACAGTCTGAGATCATTTTGTTTCTGAGTTTTGCGATGACGCGTTCATGAGCAGAAATAAACCAGACTCATGAAAATCAGGTTCACTTTGATTCGGAACATAAAATAAAAAAATGCTGCTGATATCTTTTAACCTTTCTCTCTCACACACACGCTACCAGAATAACAAAGTGATTGGATGTTGCTAGGAAACAGGCCCTTCAAATATTCATTCAAACACTTCAATTATGTCTCCCCATCTTTAATCAGAAGGAAAAAACATAAATAAAAAAGCAAAAATGGTGAACTCACTCCATCTGACCGAATATGTTTTTAAAACAGCGCTGACTGTGAGAGCGGAGGTGACGCAGGCCCCTCACTTCAGACTCCAACATAATATGGCTGTGCATACATAGTAATTAATAGTGCAGGCATCACTGTCGTGTGCAGCATGAAAGACAATGTGACGTCTGTATGCGTTCTAATAAAATGAGATGATTTTTTAAATCTGATTCATCACGGCTGTCAGCGCATAATATCAGCCTTCAGCTCCGATCATAACTGAAGGTGTCCGTGACAGGAACTCAAGTCCTCAACGCTACACACAATACCATTTGTTTTACTTTAATTACACATTTTAGTAAGCAACAGCAACACTACAGGCGAAAAGGCTTCGGTGCAGAGATACGATCTCAACAGCTCTGATAGAATCTCTCCATTCAATAACTTGTGAAAAGACCACAGCTAGAAGTAGTGATAGACTGACCAGTGGCCTGGTGTGAAATTGTTTCCAACTGGGGTGCTTCACAATTGTGTTTGACAGTTTATACTCGCTCACTGTGTGGGACAATGGCCGCCAGAGGGTTTGAACCATTTTAAAACAGGCAAATTGGCACTGTTAACACACACACACTTCAAGATAGGAAATCTGATTCATGTTATTACCTCCATCAAGAAGGTTATGTTAAGGCATAACCTACTTTACGGATTACCATAAACTTTAGTGGGAGGATGTGGTATAGGTCTGTAAAGAACACAACAGATTTTTTTTCACTTGCTTCATTATTTTTGCCGATTACTAAGAGAATCATTCATGGAAAAAAAAAATTGTCTCATTTAGGAAGACTGATATAAATGAGTGTGTGCGATGTGATTGCAATTTGGTGCAAATACAAATACAGATCGCGAGAACTCCAGATCAAAGGGAAACAGGATGGATTACCACAAAATCTGGTGGAGGTATGTGGAACCCATTAAACATTGGTGCGGCTGCAGAGTAAAATCGTTTGATTTTTTAAATCTAGTTAGTTTTTTCTTAATCAAACAATGATACAGCTTCCCTATTGCAAAGAGCAACAGCTGATGCCCTGACATTGGCTGTGTGGCACTGTGACAACGTCTGCTTTCATATGCAATGCAACCCTCAACTTTTATGGACATTACCCAGAGGAGCTAAACGCAAATGACTGAACCAGAAATTAAACTGCTTGCTCCCTGAGTATAAAGTCTGTGTAATGTCTGCATGCCACTGGTGAAACCGCTCTCCTAATCCAAACTGAATAATTCTAGTAGGTGCATGGGAACACTCGTCTCACGCAGATAGTCTCTGGTCATGTGCTGCATGTGCGAAAGGGCAACTGTCAACTGTGGGACGATCAAGTCCGGACATTGTGCAGAGTTCAGATATGGAAATGGCTAAAATAAGACAATATTATGTGATTCAGCACTACTAATACAAGGCTAGCATTGTTAGGTTTATTTGGAAATAATGTATTTGTGAGCACAGGCAGGAGGAGTGAAGCAAACAGATGAAGAACTGAAAGTCGCTGACCCTGGGCACAAAGCAAATAGGACGCACCCACATCATGAATATGCTAACCTAACTGGGGTGCTGTAGTTCCACAATAGATTTTGACCACACCTCATCATTTCTTCACACTGACCATTAACAGTCCAGCAACACATTAGGGTTTTGACCCATTGTCATTCTGTTTCAGGAAATTCTGACAGGAAAGTCTGTTTTAAATTTATAAATCATGATATATGTATATATATCAATCAATGGGCTTAAGGCTGAGAGCAACAGATGGTGGCTGAATCAGGGAAACACAAACACATTGTTGTTTTGGTATTTTTGTAGGATTTGTTGCCAGTAAGAAAAAATATAAAATAACACCAGTCTTATCCTTTAAATGCATAGTATTTCCACCATTAATGGCTGTAACTTTACGTGCATTTTGTTCCCATCTGAAGTACTTCTCAATCGATTATTACTCTGCATCGATTTAAAAAACTGAGGTCTTCACTGCAGTGACACCGAGGAGTCAAATCCGTAAAAGCGAATGCAGCAGGCTCACGATTCAAATCCTGTGAAGTCGGGCATGTAATATGAAGTTCACTTTTGTTGACAAAGATGGAGGTGAACTAGGCAAACAATAATAAATCAAAATACCAAATTGAAAAGGAATCCCTGTGCCTTTAATGCAGTGTAACGCCTGGTCGGGCTCATCTCCGACAGCGTCTTGTGCATTTGACTTACCAACCCTCTCACATAGGGGTATCGAACAAATTTTGTTCAACTTAATTAAAAAGTGCCAGAGAGCTCTGCTTTGACAGTCGACTGTACAAGTGGGTCAGCAACTGTGGATGGAGCGGCCCAAATCTACACAGCCTCATTTGCAAATTCTCAATTAAGTGAGAGTGCCGGCTGGTCATCAGCAGACTGACTGGATAACAAAGATCAGCGGCCTGCCTCTAATGATGAGTGCTCAGGGAATGTGCACGGCTGAGGCTCAGTTTGATGGCTGTAGCACTGGGGAGCTAGAAAGGGAAATGAGAAAAGGGTGAGACACTGACAGTTCAAATCACTGTTCAAAGAAGAACACAAATGGGGTTTCACCGGAGCAGATTTTATATCAAACTTCATTAAAAATATAAATCATACTGAGAGAGCGTTAATATCATGCTTAAAAGTATACATGAAAAATGTCCCACACAGGTCCTCTGTAGGTCTAGAGTCTAAAACCCCAAACTGATCAGTCTACAACAAACACATCTAAGGTTATCTTCCATGTTAAAAATAGCCATCGTCGTCATTACAAGTACAAGTTCACATTGTGGCAGCAGCCCGTGTTTAGGTTGCTATAGAAACCTCAGGTTCTTACTATCACTTTTGGCTTCAGATGAAGCTTCAAAACAAGACTGATAAAAAAAAAAGTAAAACAGATGCTTAAATTTACTGGGGCCACGAGGCACGGATGAAAAAACTCCAAAAAAGGACTTTAAAAAAGGTACGAACAGTAGAAAGTGTCAGACAAGATCCAGATCTGCGTACAAAATCCATTTTATGTCCAGTTTCATTTTATTTTCCAATTCTCTCAAGGACACAGAGCTGACACATGACATTAATCGAGACATGACACAACATTATGAGAAAGACATGTAAACAAAATATAAAGAAATAATATAACAAGAATACATAGAGTACATACAGCATAATATACACATAACCACAATACATATAAACGGTACATATACACGTACATGTATAGATACAAACAGGTCATACAGTGGAAGCACATTTATACAAATGTAAATACACACAGGTCAATATGTATACATATGCAAAATAATTTACATAAACATACAGTGACAAAAACAAATTAACACATAACAAATCACAAAGAAATATAGACTTACTGTGGCATTTTCTACTAAACACATCTACTCTATTTCCATCTAAAGAATGATCTTTTATAGAGTCAACCTTATTTGCACTGTATAAAATAACTATTTCATTATCTGGATATAAAGGATGAGAAGTAGGTTTGTCAAATGCAAGGCCAAAATACCGATTACTCAAAATTAGGTTGCCATAGGTTACCTGTATAGATAGCTTATTACAACTCATAGTTAAGTTTAATTTTATTGTTAGGCTACCTCTAGTGGCTGAAGTTAGTATGGCCGGAACAACGGAGGGAGTCAGGTGATATATAAATATTGATAATTTACATATCGAGATGAATTTTATTTATTTTATCCATAATCATCCCACACCTTTATCAGTAAGTCCATTATTGTAACCATGACAACAAAGGTTCTCTAACCTTAAGTAGCTCGACACACATACAAACATTTAGTTAAGCATACACATACAGTACAAATACACATTCAGTAACTCAGAACATATAACTTTCAAGTATATTTACACTCACCCACAGAAACACACATACAAACAGGTAAAAGGTCTTTTATTTTGAGATGCAGGAAGACGTCTATGTCATTTGAGTAAAAACAGATGTCATAGATGTGCTATTGTGCAACCTATGTTGAAGCAGACGTGTGAACATGAGGCCGTGTGCAGTAAACTGATATACAAGAGCACAACGTTTCTGATCCCCCCAGAGCCTGACTGTGCATGTACTAGAGAGGCTGATGCGTCCTTGGGGAAGAGGCAGCTTGTACATTGCCTCCTAACAGCAAGTCACAACTGCGGAATAAATGCCAGCAACATTAAAACACTGCTGGCAAGAAGTGATTATCTGTGGCTTAAGCAGGATGAAAGATGAATTAATAACAGACAAGAATTATTGCTTATGTGCTGCCGTTTTGAAAAGCTGTCATTAAAATTCTGAGCTGCCCTGACTGCAATTTCACTTCCAAAATGAAAAATATGAAAACTATTTTGAAGCTCTTAATTGTTGTAAATGGCGAAACTATTTACTGTGGCGAGAAAACAGTTTTCTGAAAACAGCAACATAAATAAACAGCCGGCCTCCTGCTTTTTGCTCTAACCTATAGAGGGCGTTGTGATGATCTCGTTAGTGCCAAGCACCAGACACGCCTGTCATGGTGGATGTGTGCGTGTAATGTCCACCGGGGGTAAATCAGCGCGTACGTGTGGATCGGTTAACGATTAAACCGCCATTTTACAAGAAAACATGCGTCAGCTCAATAGCGGTTGAGCTGTTCCTTCCAACTTCTATTTTGCTGCAGCCTCACTCTGTAGGCTTTGTGCATAGAATAGAAGTGTTGTCTCCAGATGCTGCTAACTTTATGTGAAAAGGTTGCAATTTTTCTCATTAATATTATCAAGTTCCCTCTTAGAACAAAGGCTACAGTTCTACCATCCGACTAAATACTGATAACTTGTACTTTACATATTAGGAGGTTTTATCTGATGAACATGGGTGCAACTATTAATTCACGAAAATCGTCCAGCTTCAAAGATAATAACCAGAAACCAGTTACAGTACTTGACGCCAGGTGTAAGTAAAAGTGCTCACACCAGCGACTCACCTGCGGGGTAAGGGGTCAGGACTGTGTGTAAGGGGGCTGCCAGCGGTGGGTGGTGCCGGCTCCCTCCGGCTCCTCAACGACTGGCTCCTCTGCACCTGCCGCAGCACACTGCTCTTCAGGTCCAGCAGCGTCGTCATGTTGATTCGCTGCGGACACAAACAGCCAACATCACGTTAACTGTCACTCCACTGTAAGATCATGATTGGCAGTGTTTGCGTGAAGGAGTAACTCATAAGCTCTAAGAAAGTAAGTCAAAACACTGGTTGTTTCCTGACATACAGTTGGTTCAAGGGGTTTCTTGTGGTCTGATCTGCTGCAAAACACACACACCCTTGCTCTTTTAACATAATTATACTCTTTCTCAGTAGAAGGCGAGTGCTGGGTCTGTCTCACTGATGCCCCAGGGTGTGCAATTTATCCTCTACCTTTTAGTCTGTTCAGTTCCGTTACTCGACCTTTATTTATGGGACTTTGTAAAGAAATATGCTAATATGCGTGGCGAGCTGGGAGTCATAAGAGCTGCATAATAGCAATGTCAAATAACAAGGTTGTGTTATTAAAATAATAAGGCAAGAAAAATATAGGATTAGCTATGTTTAGAAATGTTTTTCTGAATGTCTGCAGGGTCCAAACTAGATGAGCATATAACAGCTTTATCCAGAATATGGTTTTAGACACAGCCCAGTCAAAACCAAATGAAGTGAAAACAGATAATAATAAGTGATAGATATGTTTTTAGGTTAAGTGTAATCTGGGAAATGTTGCCATAGAGAAGATTACAGAGATTTAGTCTAAGAGAAGAAAGACCAAGTGTTGAAAGGCACACTCAGTAACAACGTATGTACCTGTACATGAAAGTTAATATGATATATGCTTAAAAATGCTATCAAGTGTTAATCATGTTATTTACAGTTTCTCCCTCTTGACAAACAATCAACATGTTACTGGTGTTTATTGCAAAGCTGCCATGTTGCACTAAGTAAATAGGATCATTCAGTTGGATGGGGAGCTGTTGATTTCCCACTAGTGAAAATGGAAACTCTGGTTCCTGATTTTTAATTGTGGGCTAGGCTGGACATAAATAGAATCTTTCAACAATGGTAAAAATCCAAAACTCTGAGCTGCCAGCAGGGGCCCAGCTTCATGGAAATATTTGGGAGATTCTTGTGCTTTGCTCAGTTGCCCCAAAGACCTTGTGAAGGCCACACACTCTACCTGTGCGGTCATACAGAGAACAGTTAGATGCATTAATCTATTACTGTTCATCTCCATCCATCCATCCGTTATCTATACTACTCAACAAAGTTGAGTGAAAATGTTTTTCGGTTGATTAAAGATGTTGAAAACAAGCCGCAGTACCCGCAGAAAACCCACCAAAACACAGGGAGAACTAATCCACTCATGTCATTTTAAAACAACTGTCTGGATATTTTATTAAGTGCGACACTGAATCTGACAAACACAATGTAAGTTACAGTGGCTGGCCTAACAGAAAGCTGTATGCTATTAGAAATGCTTTAACGATTTTAGAAATATGTTTTATTGTGTCATTGCCGAGGTTTGGATAACAAGAGCAACACTGGTGTCACTTATGTACAGTATTAAGGGAATATGTCAGTTTTTGACTTTTATAGATACTGGTATCAGGATTTTGTTACCTTTCAATAAATTGTGTTTTCATTTTTGTGCAAAACCAGATTAGTTTGCTGTTGGCTGCCATTTGAAAACAAGAAGGGACAAGAGGTGGAAGAAACCAGATGTGTTGGAAATGATTTTCTGTTCCTTGTAATGAAACCAAACAGTTTTTCCTGTGTTCTTTGACCAACCTTTTGCAGATTTACAAATCCACCTCTGCCTAAAACAGTTATAATAC